GCACGGCACCCTACTAACCGGTCTCTAGCGATGTGCCAAATTTGAGCACAATCGGCCCAGCCGTTCTCGAGATCTGGAAGCGGCACCCTGCACGTGCGCACGTGCAAAATGGGTCCCAACTGACTTGTGCACGGCACCCTACTAACTGGTCCCTAACCGTGTACCAAATTTGAGCGCCATCGGTCCAGCCGTTCTCGAGATCTGGAAACGACCCCTGCACGTGCGCACGTGCAGCAGCACCCCAACCTTAACACATGCAGATGAATTATCTGATGGAGACCTAACTGTGTACCGAGTTTCAATTCAATCGGCCCAACCGTTGTGCCGTTATTGAGGTTGCAATTTTGGGGGTTCTTAAAAAATGTCCAACTTTACCACGCGCCACGTGCGGTGGTTGGCAAGAACGCATGGTGGCCATCACACCACAGAACTTTTACGTCCAAGTGACATTCAGTAAAGAAGACCGCTTGTCAATCGGATGTCCCGTTCCTAAGATATTAGCTTTTGAAGAGCGTCCCCACGGCCGGCCGGCCGCTCATACTCAGAAATTTCCGTTAATCTAAGGAAAGTGGGCAACTGTTCCGGCAGAGACGATTGATAATGTACCTAAACGTGTAACAATCAAATTTTCGTAAATTGGAAGAGTATTCTTTTCTGATCAATATCCACCCATAGTACTTTCAAAAAGCCACCAAGAGCTATTAGAAACAGTACAATCATTGTACCGAGCGCATGTTTACCCACGAAACCACGCCCGGTGCTCGGCACCCGACGGCCGCTGGGGCTCAGTGACCTGAACTCGGCGGCGCTACCCGGAGAACGCAGTGTCCCCTCACTTGGTGCGCATTGACAGCGATTAACGTTTGTAAGCGGCAGTTACAAATGATGCTTACCTATACATCGTCGCTAGTGCGAGTTTGATGTCAGGCATTTCGCAAAATGCCTGGGAAAATATTTCAGGCAGTTTGCAAAATGCCTGGTGGGTCAGGCAGTTTGCAAACTGCCTGGGCATTTTGCAAAATGTCTGGCCGGTCAGGCATTTTGCAAACTGCCTAGGCATTTTGCAAAATGCCCGAGTTTTCACTTTGCCTGTAACATATGTACCTATGTACAGTCTGAACTCTTTAAGTAGGTTTGAGGCCTGAACGTTGGCCATGGCCTGGAACTGGTCTCGGGAGCCTCTTTACGTGTCCCATCCTGGTTTCCCTATGTGGCCGTACAGAAACGCATCTACCAATTGCTAGCTTGCACTTTCTTAACTATAAATGTGTTTGTTTAAAATAAACTTAAGTCTTAAATACAATAAGTCTAGAAAAAAACTTAAATACAACAATTTTAGGGTCACGATCAGCCGGATTGGTCAAAACATACGGCTGGATACGAGTGGGAATAACAATACCAGTATAACGCCTTTTGGGGCGACTAACGGAGCGAGCGAGAGGGTGAGCCTTGCACGTGCGAAATTGCGAGGGGGTACCTCCAACTGAGTTGTGCACGGCACCCTACTAACCGGTCTCTAGCGATGTGCCAAATTTGAGCACAATCGGCCCAGCCGTTCTCGAGATCTGGAGGCGGCACCCTGCACGTGCGCACGTGCAAAATGGGTCCCAACTGACTTTTGCACGGCACCCTACTAACCGGTCCCTAACCATGTACCAAATTTGAGCGCCATCGGTCCAGCCGTTCTCGAGATCTGGAATCGACCCCTGCACGTGCGCACGTGCAGCAGCACCCCAACTCTGGCACATGGATATGCATTGCATAGTGGGTGCCTACCTACATGCCAACTTTCAGCGCAATCGGCCAAGTAGTTACCGAGATATTGCAACAATTGCAAAAGTGACACCTCTTCGTTTTGCACGTGGCACGTGCATAAGGGGTCACCCACACGCATCGAGAATAGTCCAATACTTGGTAGCAGGAATGAAGCTACCCTACAAAAATTACCGCATGTAAATCGGTCAAGTGGTTGCTGAGATATAAGCCTCGCAAAAGCGTGACCACGGCCGGCCGGCCGGCCGGCCGGCCGGCCGCTCATACTCAGAAATTTCCGTTAATCTAAGGAAAGACTACGCTCGCTTCGCTCGCTCCGTAACAAGTGAGACAAGCGATTCAAGTGAAGTAATTCATGAATATGCATGTGTTTGCATCACGTCATTTTCAAATACAATCAGAGCGTGATTCGTACAGCCGCTTCAACGGTTTGCCGGCGATGAAGACACGTAATGATCAGTCGGCGGTGGCTGATGCGATGTTTCCCTTCTTTACAAGTGATTTCCGATGAGTGATTGGGCTATTAGTGTGATTGGAGGGCACGTTTGGGTGTGCAGCGCGGCCGGGGCGGCGGGACCGCACTGTGGCGTGTGCAGTACCCATCCGGGGCCGGCGCTGACCCCTCGGTCAGGTCGGCGCGCTACGGCCGCCGACACAGCACATTCGACTAATGAAATCATCTGGTAACGGGGCTGGACGCGCCGCGGTACTAGCTGCCGGCCCACTCGGCGTGCCGGTGGAACGGTTATGGTCAGTTACATAAGCTCGGGGTGAGTCTGCGACCGGCAGAGGCCAGAAACAGTTATGAGCGGCATCTCTCCCTAACACGGTCATCGCAGAGAGGCTGAGAATCGAGCGCTCGGGAGAGAAAGCATGGGTCCACAATGTAGCGAGGTGGCACGCCATTTAAAGGTTTACAATGTTGGCAGACCTCGGAGTGCACATTAGATCGATACGCTCAAACCCACGTGCTTAGCTTAAGCGGTCTAAATTTTGGTAAAATTGGGTTAGTGTTGTGCAGTGTGCAAGCGAGGTGCAGTGCGCCAATAAAATGGGATGGAACATAGATCGAGAAATACTATTCTCAGTCGCATATTTACAACATGGTGGCGACGAAGAGGGGAAAATCAAACGTTGAAAAAACGTGGAAGTTACTCGCCCATTAAGTCCCTTCTGGAAGGTTAGCTTCATAAGGTAACAGTAATAAAAATGGCATGATCAAAATAGACCAAACCAAAGCAGCGATCGCGATCGAATATCATCAATATTGATTATGACTGAATGCCGATGGAGACGAGAACGATAAGAGGATGTGTCATACCGACGTCCACAAAAGCAAGCCGACAGGCGATAAATGCAGTTTCTCAAGAGACCAAATAGATCAAATAGGATAGTTATATGCAGGGCTACGGTGTCGGTGGATTTTCAGGTGACTCCAACTCGGACTCGGGCTCAATAAAAAATCGACTCCGAGTCAAGCTCCGACTCCGGACGTTTCTCTTAAATCCATATCATGACAATAAATTTCATAGTGGAGGCTGGAGCTGTTTTTGATATGCCTGAAACGATCCGTTGTGAGTTCCAAGGCCTTCAATTGTAAATATGCTTTATAAATAACATGCAGGATGAAAAGCAGGTTCTACAACGTCATGGCCGTTGAATCTGCCGTCTTCTGCTTCTTTCACTGAAAGTGCTCGTCCAAAACAGGAGTATGGCCTTTTTTGACAAAATCTGATTTCGAAAGGTCAACGAGGGTAGTACCTATATCGTCAAGCAAACGGGTGTAGGGTATGACGTTGAGCCATGCAGCGTTAAATTCGACTCCGGAGTCGGATTTGGTTACATTCTGGCGACTCTGACTCCGACTCCGGGCAGAACTGTCGACTCCGACTCCGACTCCGGGCAGAACTGTCGACTCAGACCGACTCTGATTCCACACTCCACAGCCTTGGTTATATGATAATAGACCTACTCTAATAGCAAGATGCCCTATGCCCACGTAAAACTGCAAGTTTGTCCGCTGGAAGCCCATAAGCATGCTGAAAAAAGATTGGAGTAGGGGAAGTTGGGGCAATGCCGGAGTTGGGGCAAAGCCGAAATTCGAGATATTTCGAAAACCGTAAGACATGGATGCCACCTGTCAGTGATGCTCTGAAGCTTAAGTGACTACAATTATCGCATGTTTGTTACGAGTCGTCATTCGGAATACTTCGACTGTGAGGGCGCCAAGAGCGTTTTCAAGGTACGTTTCCCTTGTACTACATGCGCCTTTGAAGCTGCATTTCTTACTCATTATGCTACCGTTTGTCTGGCCAATTCGGTCAAGTAATCTTTAGCATGTCTTTGCATAAGTGTGCTGCCTATTTGAAATTTATACAGCACGTTGAAAAGTTATGGGCCTGCAAATGAAAGTATGGCAGGCTGGGGTAATGCCGAAAACGTGCGATTACGCACGTGTTAAAAGCACGCTACGTGGACTTTACTGCTGTAGAATAGCAACGCGTATTTTTAGTCACACAAATTACACTTTCAACCGACACAACGGCCTGTTACCTATAAGGAATGATTTACCTGGCATGTTCTTATTATATCACACAATTATAACTTCCAGTGTGCACCGCGTCCTCAAGCTCTTAAAACGCGTGTCAGCTTTGATGAATTCTGGATAAAGTTTGAGATGAAATGGCAAAACATCAATGTCGGCATTCCCCGTAGATCATTTCTCCCATTTTCGGCTTTCCCCGCAGTCCGGGGCAACGCCGAAAAAGTCACTTCTTTGATATTTTTAGTTTGTGCGCTTAACGGTATGCGAATTCATCAAATGCGCCTGGTATGTTTGAAAGGCAAAAGACTGGCCTCTCGAATGACGCCAAGTTATTTTAGTGAACTGTCAAAATGTGAGCACGTCTTGATGGGAATAAGGAAAATCATCGCTGCAGTTTCGAGCGGCCTGTCTAACCCAGGGGACGTCAATGTGACGTCACCGACGACCCTTGACGGTGACAGCGACGGTCCATTTCGGGCCGTTCACATCGCTCTGAGATCGGTCCGGTCCCGTCGAACTGAGATCGGTCAGATCTCCGCCGCTGCCCCCAGGGGTGACGGTGCGCGGCCGGCGGCAGACGGGTGCCACTTGTCCCAGCGCTGACCGCTGACCGCTGACCGCTGACCGGCGGCCGCCTCTCCCGACCACCACTGGCGGTCGGCGGCAGCGCCTCTCGGCCACCGTCGGAGGCTGCGGACGGTCAGTCGGTGCCGGCGGTGGGCGCGGGAGCACGTGCGCACGACGGGAAGGGCGGGCAGCGGTGCCGCTGGGCTGAGTGGACTGCAGACTGAGCAGTGGGGGTAGACTCGAGGGGTTATCAGCTGATCTGGATGGCGAGCTCCGATACCGCCGATATGGAGATCGTGCACCCGTTTGACTTCAGGTGAGTGTTAGTGCGAGTCAGGTATGCCTGCATGGGTTTGCAGAACTGCGATGATCCATTGATAGTCATATGGATTCAATGGAATAGTTAGTTATTTGAAATGGTATTGAGATGTTTGAATAGAAAGCTCAAGAAACAAAAATAAGCACATTTCGAACTCAGAAGCAACGCAGTACAGAACGTTGATAAAGCGTAATCACGTCCTGATTGTTGGAGTGAGCGATCTTATGCATTGATTTAATTCAGATAATTTCTTTGCCGATATCTCTTGCCTAGAGCCGTGTATTTTTCGTTCCCCTGCTCATAGAGCGCGTACTCTGAGTAATTGTGAGACAGCAGGTCTCTCAGCTTCTCCATGCGTGCTCTGCCGACAGGAAGCTGGTGGCAGCAGAGGCGGCCGTCGACTCCCCGCTACCCGACACTCGGTGAGTCCGGACGGCCACCGGGGGGGGGGGGAGGGGGGGGGGGGCAGCGGGATCACCTTACCACGCCTGAGCGGTCCGACAGATCAGAAACACGCGCATTGAAGAGCTGTGTCCTGATATGACCGCCATTGGACGATAAAATTTGAATATTTTCAGTAGAGGTCTATTTATAATTCGTTCCACAGCGAAAAGAGGTATTTCTATATCGCACCCCATTACGATGCATAGATAATAATCATTATGTTTGCAAATTGCATCCAACTGAGATGGAAAAATAAAGCCTCGAGGTGTCGCAATGATGTTTCCTTTTCATGACATACCTATACCTAATATTTGTAATATTTACGTATCCACATTTGTCCACTTTTATGTTCAACACATACTGGCCGTTTTCACGACGGAACTTTCGCAGAGGAACTTATTTGATACCTAAAAAGTACCTACCCTTAGAGGCCTTAACATCCCTCAAACTGAAATATTTTATGTTCAAAATAATTTTAGAAGTTCAAATCCGGGCATTTTTTGCCCTCAAATCACTTATTTATTTACAAACACAGCAATTTTTAGTTCTAGTAGCCCACCTTTCGACTATGAGGTATTAAATCAGCGTGGCAACTTTGCTCCCTCGGGTATCTAATTCCGGAATTCTTAAAAACAAGGAAAGTATATATCGAGTTCTCTTTTATACCTATTCAGTTATGTTTTAATGGTGATTAAAATATGACAAATTTTTTAATTACATTTCATATAAGAAAACACGCAAAACAATGAAACAAAAATAACTACGGCAGATAATTACCTTCAGGTATCTAATTCCGACCAATCAGCACCTCAGTAGGATATGACGTCATACAAGAATGGTGGTGAAGGCCGTTTGCAGTCCCGGCCGGTAGGTCACGTGACCGCCGGGCGCCTCGGGTCACGCGGCGGTCGGGAGTCGGACGCGGGGCGTGGTCGCGGGCAGACGCGCGGGGCATCATGCTTTGCTTTGCTTGCTTTGTCAACTTCATATAACTTACTATCGCATTCGTGTGAAAGCCAAACACTGCTCAGTGCCCTTAGAAATTGAGTTTTGGAAAGCTCAAGTCCCTATAGCTCCTCAGGTCGGCAACAGTTGAAGCCTCATCTGAACCCATGTGAAAAAACGAGGGTAAGGAACCTTGTGTTGCTTTTTCTTTTACCGTCATAATTATCTCAAACCATCACAATTTTGAGTTGCCACATTGTCTGCTTCACTACATTCGTGTAAAACTTGGGTGAAGGCTGGTGGCTCAAGGAAAGGTGAAGATATTTCTTTAAGTGCCTAATCCGTGAAATTGAAATATCCCGGCTTTACAAATCTACACTTTTCATTTTCTCCACGATACATTTTTTAAAATTGTTTAAATTTTATCTACATTTGTTAACATCGGGGCTTTGGTTTTGTGTAAACTAGATCATAAAGTTTACTATAGTTTTGTGTAACCTGATGGCTGAAAAAATAGTAATTTTGCTAAAATGATGTGCGGAAATTTGTTGCTTTCCAAATCAAATTACTCATACCTATATTTCATTCAAAATTAGGAGGCATTATTACTGTTTTTTCTTGTAACATGAACTGAGTTTGGGTACGGTGCTCCGGAAACGTTGTGGAACTTTAAGCTAGCTAGAGCAGTTTCCATAAATATTGTTTAGATAGTTGACATGGCTTGTTGACAACTCTTGCTGTTTCTAAAAAAGTGAAAAAATATTCTCCTGCATTAAGCACACAAGGCATGTTATTCTCATAAGCTATCGAATGTGTGTGTGTGTTTTTTTAAGCTGTTTTTTTAAGCTTTTAAGCTGTAACTTCAGTTACTTCACTTTAGAACATATTGCCCAGAATGCGTCACTGATCATGAGCTGGTATATCATATCATATGTAGCAAATACATAAATGAGAATAGTGTGTCATGAATTTTTGTGCATGCTTCTGGATCATCTGTAATTACATCAAAGGCTCGGCTCAAGAGTGTCCTGCCGACCAGCTTATGCCCAACCCTTTCTGTCCGCAGAACGTCGCCTGCGACTCCCGCACGCCGTTTGCCCCGGCCGTCCGTACTGGTCTTCGCGCTGCGAGCCGCGCTGGAGTTCGCGGCGGCGTCGTGGAGATCCCATCGGGACGGCGTGTGATGCCCGCGTCGAGCTTATAAGCCGTGAGCTTCGATTGGCGGCTCACGCGGTCACCAGCTGTATGTACAGCCTCGGCCCCGACGACCCCGCTAATGGCCGAGACCGGCATACCCCCGGCATGGGTCCGCTGTCCGGCGCAGCGCTGGCCGCCCGCATGCTATGCTACTTTTGGCTGTATCGCTGCCCAGCGGGAGCGCGCTCCACGCTGCGGAAGAGGTACACGCTGCGACCCGACTGAGGACTGCAACCGGATGGTGACACGTCGGCCTCTGCGCCCTGGCCGGGGCAGGCGTGACCGACGTCACAGTGGAGGAACGCCCAAACAAGACCAGCCCACCGTCGGAGCAGCATGGAAATATCATGTTCTGCCTGGACGTCGGACCCGGCGGCCGCAGTGCACCTGCACACGTGCGGAGAGGGGCGCTGGAGGCTACTCTGGAGCTTCTGCCATTCCGCGGCGCGACTGCTGGCAAAACGGCGGCGATTGAGGCGGTTGGGAACAGCTGCAGCAATGGTGATGGCGGTGATGGCGACATGGCGGTTTGGGACTTCATCTCAGCGCGGCCGCCGCCCAGGCGCCGCTGCGCCCGGATGCTCAGCCACCTACCGGATGGCGGGGTGGCCCTTACGGCCCTCACGCCCGTTCGGTCTGCGGCCACGTTGTGGGGTGGCGGTCGCGGGGTTAGCGGCGTTGGACTTCGTCCTTTATCCAGACTGCACCGTACCATCTGAACGGATGGATCTGCCAAGAAAGATGACATCCAAGGCGGCTATGAGGCGATCACAAAGCTTCACCAAGAGCTTCTCCTTCATGGGGCCGGCCGGCCGTTAAGTCGCAACACCGGCTGCCGAGTGCCAACAGCTGCGTGCGCTGGCGCCGACGCGTTGTGGGCCGCGCTGCTGACGCCCAAGCTGTGATATCAACCATCTATGAATAAGTGGCAGCGGTGGCGGCTTGTCAGTTGTTAACGTGCCTTAACAGACGTTGCGAATAGCCCGCGTTGGAATCGCATGGTTGGGAACACAACGCAAGTAAAAATGGGATTCCTTGATGAACCTACTTTTTAAGCATTGTAGCCTTTGTAATTTTGGATGTTTTGCTGTAGATATTATTTTCTACATATATACTATATAGGCACTCACGTGCTTTAAATCGCGCAATGCAATTGAACCATGGTAAAGACAATGATAAATGAACTGAGAGCTGACATGCCCCATGCTTTGTGTGTGTATGTGTGTGTGCGTGTTTTTTTTGCGAGTCGATAAAAGTGGTTTTGGACACTGGATGAGTTTTTAGGGGTGTGGTGAGGGGGATGTAATTCCACAGACCTTCTGTCAGATTCACTAATGCAGTAGGTCTGTGCGGTGTTTAGTTATCGGAGCATTCTTTGAAAGTCGTGAATAGGGCCACCGAGTACCTAAAGCCGTGATATTCCCCCACAAAAACTTCTTTTAAATAACCGGGGATAGGTACATGAGCAGAGTAAATGCTATTACGAACGCCTATCACAATGCTGAGCGAATAGGAAAATCCATAGATCGAGAATTGTGCCGCGTTACGGGTGCTCGGGCGCAGCCAATCCACCGTTACCCCAGCGGTGACCTTGACCCGCATCGTCTGTCTCGGCTCCAAAGCCAAACCGGCGTGGAATTGGGAGCGCTCGAGCACTCATGGTCCAGCGCAATTCTCCACCTAAATCCATTCCTGATACACATTTGCTTGCTCCTAGTCATGTAACCCCGGTAAATTCACCCAACTTTCATATTGGTCGCTCCATAGACAGATGGCCACAGAGATCAACTTAAAAGGCCATTGTTGCATTCATTTAGTGGAGATCATTAAAGAGCCGTGACAGGCCACAAGTCGCGTGACATCATACGTGTAACGACCAATGACGTCGGCCTGCAAAACCCAATGGAAGCGGCTAGCAGCGTGCAATAAAACAGGGCGCTGCTTTCTAAATGTCTGTCGTGCGCCATAAATGAATATATTCTTTGCAGCCTGGCAACTCAGTATCTTTTTTTAACTATTGTACTAGTATTTAATAATTTCATAATTTTATAATTGTGCTTACGCTTTATGTTGATATTAGTGATAATCCTTAGATAAAGTAAATCGATGTGATATTTAATAGAAAAATAGCAAACTAACGCACCATTCATTCGAAAGCTGGGGAACCTACTAAAAAGAACTACTAAAATTCCTGAGGAACTAAAGGATTAAATGGGGATTAAATAGATGCCTGCTATTCCGTCGTGAAAACGGCCACTGCAAAGCATCGTAATGACTGACAAAGTTTCTGATAGTCCGCTTTGAATTGTCTGAATACCGAACTTGGACCGACACAAATGTAGCCAGCCATACGAGTTTCTTGTTTCTCCAGGTCAAGCAAGCTCTCCCGTACAACAAACTTCGATTATATCAACTGCATCAAAACTCTAATTTGAAAGTCAAAACAATGCTTCATGTTTGCATGTGTCACGGAAGAGCCATTCATCAGACTGGACATTCAAACAATTTATGAAAGCAATAGTGCCTACATCGCTTCGACATTAACAGCTTTAGCTATAAGTAATTGACTCGTTTGGTTCCACAATAGAATGGTTGATGTATGGCTGCCCGATGCTAATTTTCTGATGCGACCAGTAGGCAACAAAGCACTCATGGACACTCCCAGCAGCGGCTGAGTCTGCACTGCTCGTCCCGCATTTTCCTTGTACTCATACCAGACACGTAACCAATATCCGGATGCATACGGGTGTTTGACTTTTCAAATCTATAGAAGATTCTTGTTGGCGCTGAGCATACCCATATGCATCTTATGGTCATGCTTTCAGTCCAAAAGTTC